TTCCAATATGGCTTTTATCTTTTATACTGCATTTTCTTCTATATTGGGCAAAGCCTCAGAAGTATTTAAAATTAGCTGCTTTTGCACTTGCTGGACTAATAAAAGGCAGGGCGAACAGTATCATGTGTTTATTTAGTCCTTTATTTGTTCACAACTTAATCCCACTCTTATTAAAAAATAATCTGCTATGGGAATTAGTTTTTCCTTGCTTGCTTGCCTGGCCAGCAAGTTTCAATCTCTAAATATGAACATCCAGAAAGTAAGCAAACACTTGGCTTAGTAGCTTTAAGCAACCTGCTGAAGCTGAAAACTTTGAAATTTGCAGAAATGGGAAATATTTGCATCTGTTTACATTTTCAATCAGTTAGAATAGAGCTGGAAGGGACCTTGGAGGTCTTCTAGTCCAACCCCCTGCTCCAACAGGAAACCTTATTCCATTTCAGATAGGTGGCTGTCCAGTCTTTTCTTAAATACCTCAAGTGATGAAGCCCATACAACTTCTGAAGACAAGCTGTTCCATGGGTTAATTGTCTACACTGTTAGGAAATTTTTCCTTAATTCCAGGTTGCTTCTCTCTTTGGTTAGTTTCCAACCATTGCTTCCTGTCTTGCCTTCAGGGGCTTTGAAAAATAAGTTGACGCCCTCGTCTTTGTGGTGCCAAATGCTGGAATGCTGCTATCGTGTCCTCTTTTTCTCTCGACTGGCCATACCCAATTCCTGCAACCATTCTTCATATGTTTTTATCTCCAGGCCCTTAATCCAGTGGTGAAATTCAAATTTTTGACTATCAGTTCTGTGGGCGTGGCTTGGTGGGCATGGCAGGGGAAGGATACTGCAAAATCTCCATTCCCTCCCCACTCTAGGGGAAGAATACTGCAAAATTTTCATTCCCTCCCTACTCCTGGGGGAAGGATACTGCAAAATCCCCATTCCTTCCCCACTCCAGGGGAAGGATACAGCAAAATCTCCATTCCCACTCTACTCCGGGGGAAGGATACTGCAAAATCTCCATTCCCACCCCACTCTGGGGCCAGCCAGAGGAGGCATTTGCCGGTTCTCTGAACAATTCAAAATTTCCGCTACTGGTTCTCCAGAACCTGTCAGAACCTGCTGAATTCCACCCCTGGCTTAATCATTTATTTTTATTCAATTTGTATGATTGCCCAGCTCACCTAAATGGCTCTGGGCAGCTCACAACAGATTTAAAAAAGTGATCAGTAAAAAAACCAATGTAGAAGCACCTAAAAACTATCCATGATTAATTTAAAAAACACAAAATGTGATCAGCAGCAAAATTCATCCTAGGTCAGCTCCATGCAGCCATTGTAAAGAGTTCCCCATCATTGTCAGAATTCCAGGCGCAGTGGCATAGCTCTGTGCTGGTATTGCTTATGTATTACATTCCTAACAGTTGTGTTTACAAATGAAAGGATAAAGCTCTTTACACTTTGTTTGTCTACATGAAGCTGAGAGATGGGATCTAGCTCCAGCAGCTACTAGCGGTTCCTGCCACCTTAATCTGATTAGAGAGGAGGGGGGGGGACCTTCTTGTGATACTCTTGAAGAGAAAATTGTAACTGGTACAATTTAGTGCTAATTAAGTTGCCTGATTACTTACTGTACAGTGGTCGAGACATTCGTGCTGGGCTATCTGGAGTCCCATCAGAACCTGGGGAAATAGATTTTTTTTATTAGTGCCTTGCCATTTATTGCACCCAAAATAGCTTTCTGTAGATCAGTGTTTCTCAGCTTTGGCAACTATAAATGGATGGAACAACTTCCAGAATTTCCTAGTCACCCTTGCTGGTTGGAGAATTCTGGGACTTAAAGAACTCCCAACTTAAAGCTGCCAAGATTGAAACATTGCAAAGATGATAGATGCTGTTTAATTTGTGTGTGTGTGTGTGTGTGTGTGTGTGTGTGTGTGTGTGTGTACACACACACTGGTTGCAACGGGATCCGGAACCCACCACTGGAGAGAGGGTAAGTAGGTAGATGTTTCCAGGTGTATTTATCCATGTGCTGGAGGAAATCGCTGACAATCTGCAGCACCTAAGACAGCGATGGCAAACCTTCTTTGCCTTGTGTGCCATAAGGGGGAGCGCAGGGGGGGGGGGCGTGTGTGGGTGTGCTGCACCCATAATGCAACATACAAGCCCCCAGTGTGCAAGTGTGCATGAGAGGTGCTCCCCCCATTTTTTGCATGCTTTTCTCGCCCTCCACAGGCTCCAGAGGCTTTATAGGAGCCTGGGAAGGGCGAAAAAAGCCTTCCCTGCCCCCCCCCCCACGAGGCCGTCTGGAGGCTTCAGGGGCCTTCAGGAGGCTTCCCTAAAGCCTCTAGAGGATTAAAAAGAACCCTACGAGCAAACTGGAAGTCCATTCCCGAACTTCCAGTTTGCCCATAGGGATGGTTTTTTGCGCTCCGGAGGCTTCAGGGAAGCTCCTGAAGCCTCCGGAGGGCCTCTGGAGGGAGCGGAGGGGCTCTTTTCGCCCTCCACAGGCTCCTATAAAGCCTCTGGAGCCTGGGGAGAGCGAAAAAATGCCTTTTAAATAGGCTGAACTCAGCTGGCCAGCGCGCGCATGCACGCTGGCCAGCTGACAGGGCAACGCCTCGTGTGCCCTGACAAATGGCTCCGCATGCCACCTGTTTCACGCCATCCCGGACCTAAGACTTTGTTTCTGCTGGCACAGCACCTGATCAATCTAATTCTCAGCAATCAGTTAAAGAGCTTTCCAAAAGGGAAAAAAAGTTTTTTGCACTGTGCAAACCTCCCCAAAACGGCCCATTTTTTGCAAAAACAGGCCCATTTTTTTTTAAAAAAAATGCATGAGTAGCCTTGGGGGTCCTTGCAGAGTGCTCCTGGGTGGATGGGGGGGCAAAAACGAGCAGAAAACGGCCCATTTTTCACAAAACCGGGCCTGTTTTTTGTAAAAAAAAAAATTGCATGCATAGCCTTATGGAGGCTTATAGAGTGCTGCTGGGGGCTGGGAGGGGCAAAAATGGGCTGTTTCTAAGCTCATTTTTGCCCTCCCCAGCCCCCAGGAGCTCTCTGAAAGCCTCCGTAAGGGTATGCAGAGCCATTTATGTGAAGGGGCGGGGCTTCAGGAGGCAAAAAATGCTGTATTCAATTTATAAGACACACCCAAATTTTCAGCCGCTTTTTTGAGGAAAAAAAGTGCGTCTTATACTCTGAAAAATACGGTAGTCTCTTAAATTTCTATCTATTTGGGTTGTCAAATGGGGTAATTGTGGACTAAATTCCCTTAGGGAAGAGTTTAATCTGGGTTATTCATCAATCAAGCTTTTGACAAAGTAGAATCTTCCTCTTCCCACAGTGAAAAGCGGAACTAAAGGTAACATCCTCTCATTATTAAGAACAACTGTGGGGTGATGGGAGTTCAATAAAGACTGCTCCAGGATAAACAGTTACTCTTCCTTCCATGGTATTCTTCCAATCCCAGTCAGCCCTTCTTTTGTGCCAGATATTTATTTAAACAGCCTGAGACATAAAAAGACCTTGGAAACAAGGGGAGTTGAAAACAAGGAAGCCTTTAATTGTCTGATAGTGATAGAATCAGGGAATGTCAAAAAAAGAAAAAAGCATTCATGGGAGATTTAATACAATGCAATACAATAGCAGAGTTGGAAGGGACCTTGGAGGTCTTCTAGTCCAAGCCCCTGCCTAGGCAGGAAACCCTATACCGTTTCAGACAAATGGCTA